AAAAAAAAAAAAAATACAAAAAAAAATAAATATTATATTTAATATTTATATAAAATAAAATGTTATAAAATATAATATATAATATAAAATATAAAATAAAATATATTAATATAAAAATAATTAAAATAATAAAATATATTATACTATATAAAAATATAGTAAAAAGTAAAAAGTAAAAAGTCAAAAGTAATAATATAATATAAAAATATATTCACATAATATCAACCAATTCTTTTATTATTAGTTAAAAATAATATCATTTTCAAATCGAAGTGTAAAAGAACGTAAAAAAAGAAAAAAGCAGTAAACCTAATTGCAGTCGTTCGAATAATAGTATAATGAACAAATAACAAATAGAATAATGAATAAATATGAATAGATGTTACAATAAAGAATGAGTGAAAGTTTCACTGGATTGTAAAATGATTAAGATCAATAACATATAGCATATCAATTCAATCATCTTTCATATTAAATTATTATATTAATTAACAAATATGCATTTGAAATATCAACATTTTCTACATAATTTTCTCATAAAGAACGTCCCCCCTTCTCCTAATAATCATTTGATGTATATTTTTTTTATCAGATTTTTCTTTTTCGTTTGCATTTCATTCCGTAAAATATACAATATAAATAAATCATGTGTGTGTGTGTGTGTGTGTATCAGTCAATTCGATGGAAAGTTCGAAAGAATTCAGTGAAGCATGCAATAAAAATATTGTCTGGAATAATATGAATTCCAAAGTGGCTAATAATTTTAAATACACTCTTCCCTGTAAAATAATTCATATTGAACTAACCTTTTACAGAAGCATTTATTTTCATAAAGGAAATATGATCATTTCCATATTAGTCATTTAACAAAGTGTTTTATTCGATCAGATAATACATTATCAACCTGTTTATATATTTACATATCTATATATATGCAGTAATAATGTATATACATATTTCTATATGTTCCGTAAATATAATTATCATTTTAATTATAAACCAAAGTTCAATAACCCATTAGTTTTTACAGTCAATCTAAATATTATATTTTTAATATAAATGATGTATATATTAATATATACAATTAATATATTACACAAAAATATATAAAATATTTATATATATATATTATTTAAGAAAATTATTTTAATAATTATTATTTATTAAAATATTATAATTATTATTATTATTTTTTTTTTTTAAATCATTCAATATTTAGCGAAACTCTTTTAAGTGTTTATCTTATTGTTAGTACATTTTGTACTTTTAGTATATTTATATATCATTTTTAATTCAATAAAACGATCTACTGTAATATAATTATAATTTTTTAAAAACAAACCAATGATCATACATACATACATACATACATACACATTTATTCCAAAAATGTTATCTACTTAAAAATAAAAAATATACTAATTTACAATTTACCTTATTTTGGTAAATACATGTTTTATTCTTTTTTGTTCTGTTCCACTTTCTCTCTCTCTTTACTCAATAAAATATCGAATACGATGTAAATGTGATCACTATCGCACATGATCAGACAGTAAACAATTTATTGCTTCATTATAGATTCAGTAAAGAAAAAAAAATAAGTCGACTGAATAAGGCTTTGAACTTTTCAGTTTAGATTACAATTGAAATTGCATGATTTTATTAGAAAGTGATTTTTCTACACATTTTTCTTTTTTTTTTTTTTTTTAGTATAAATTTAATTTAATGATAAAAATCATGAATTAAAATTAGTATGAATTAAATGTAAAATAATTTAATACAAATATAAAAATGCAAATTGAAACGAAAAAAGTAATTTTCTTAAAACTTGTTTACATTTCGTTTATGATTCTACATTTTTTTATCGTTATTATGCGATTAAAATAATGTTTAAAAATATAATCATTGTAATTATTGTTTTCTTCTTTTCATATCTGTAATTTAAACAAAACAAAAAGTTAATATCAGCTTAGTATTTATAAACATTACATAATACCATAACAGTAGTAGTATAATTGAACTTGTTACGTATGACACATATGAAATATACATTTTTCAAATAAATTAAGAAGTAAAAGTTGGTGATCATGTTGTTTCTTTTTTATTAAATGCATTTAGATTGATGTTGAATGCTTACACAAATTATTTCATTAATAATCTTATTCTAATAAATGAATAATAATATTATCATAACAAATTTATAGCTCGTAATTATTATAAAAAAATAAAAGCAAACCATTATTTTCAATTGTTCGATTAAAATTTGAAATATATCTAAAAAGAGTAAGAAAATAACTCTTTGATATTTTATATTAAATAATTGAGAAATTGATATCTCGTGTAAGTGTAACTGTCTTAGAATTAGAAACCAAATACTACCGTCTATTTGCTTATATCATATATAGGATTATTTTCAAGAATTAAACATAATATTGAGTATCAATTTTCCAGTGAAAGCAATTTGCTTGACTAAAGATGTTATTAATTTGACATTTCCTGTTTGTAATCTAATAAAAGTAAAATCGCATTTTCATATTATATATCACGATACATATGTGCCCATAATTATGAAAGTGATTTAAATCAAAATTAATAAAACATGAGTTTATCAGTTATTACGCACTGCATTATTATAAACTAAATAAATTCAATGCAATTTTCACGATATTATCAAAAATGAATCGTTAAATAATGTTTGTTATTTCAATATTGTATAGAATTTATATAATGTTCAAGTATAAATCTTTAAGTATCTCGAAACAAGAGATATATGACTTGGACCACTTTTATAATTATGAGCACATATAGAATTTCTAAAATATTTTCAACAAAAATTTGAAATATCTAACAACAAAAATAATATCAGGATTAATAGTTCATTATTGATGTGAATGCACCTTTACTTTTTAGGAGTGGCTTTAACAGAGAAAGGTTCTTGTTTCGTTTGACTAGCACTTTTATACGGATACAAGATCGTGAATAGTTGAAAATAAGTAAGTATACGTATTACGTATTCGAACAAAGCATTATCCACTTGATCAATATCTTAGTCGTTAAATGGATTTCTAGTTGTTTTGTATAAAATTAATACGAAACAATCTTTAACTAAACATTTTCTTTTATTCTTCCTTTTTTTTGTTTTGTTTTGTTTTTTTCTGTTTTTTATTTTATAATAAAATTTACATAATATTAAGAGCTTGATTTGCTCCACATCCAACGGTACCTTCTATGTAATCTGGAAAATTAGATTCCAATACACGCATACTGTTTCTTCTATAATCAGGAATAACATGAGTTGCCAAAGAACAAGCAGCACTGTTATAAACCTTTTGGAAATTCTCTGGTTGGAAAGGAGTATTTGTATCCCATCTTTGAACGATACCGTCGCCTTCGTATCTAAAGAACAGAGCATTGCCATTGTCCGTGCCTAGAATTACTAAACGTTTAGGCTTCGTTCCAACATCTTGAATTTTTCCGCTCGTTAAACCGTTTCGAAGATATTCCGTTTTGATGGAGAACATATGACTGCTTGATAAATAAGTGAACATAAGACAAGTACTACCATCGGCATGACGAATAAGAGCCAAATAAAGTACATCTCTTCGAGAAGAATTCATGGTTACAATTTTGGGTAAAACGAATCTATAACCACGACCAGACGTGACATCGTAAACCAAAATTGCTCTCGTTGCAGCATCCGATACGTAAACAAAGACACGTCCATCAGGACTATAATCAGCAACGACGTATTGAAGTCTAGAGGAAGATGTGGTTAAACCATCAAGTTCAACCGTTTTCAACAGCTATAAATGATAATACAAATAATTCAATTTCAATCTTTACAAATTTCAATCGAAAGTGAATGTATTACGAATCATGATTAAGTTGCCAAAATAAAAAAAATATAAAAACAGGTCGAATATTAAATCGTTTTAATAATAGTTGACAGTGTAAAATATATCGTTTCGTAATAATATCGTATTTTTATATTGCAAGTTTTATATACGATGAAAAGTAAAAGTATTATTATTATTATTATTATTATTATTATTATTATTATTATTATTATTATAAAAAAAAGATAAAATATAAGAACTTACCTTGCCTGTTTTCACATCGAATGCGACAACTTTTGGTTGACACATACGTACAGATTCTTCTAAAGTATGAATTACACCTGTATCCAAAACCCAAAGGATATCTTGGGGATCTAAGAATAGATCTACAACATTTTGCAATGCTTTCAAACTACCTTCCTCTTGAATCGACCAACATGGGAAAGCATGGAGACTAGCTTGACAGTTTCTATCCTTGAGAGAAACTCTAGCTAAAGTTGCTGGAATACCAGATCTATACCTGTAACAAAAATCAATCAAATAATTAATTAATACTTATGAAATATTCTAAAATGTTAAATATATAAATTTTTCATATATATCTCACCTTGGTAGAGCCAAAAATGCTTCGTCATTGAAAATTGCAGCTCTCGTTGCAATCACATTCTTCGAAATGTAACGACCACTATTTTTAAACATACTTTTCGTAGTTGCACATGGCCACTCGAATGATCCACCAACCCACTGAACTTCATGATTATCATAATGTTCTAATTGTTCTAATTGTTCTAAATCATCTGCGATAACAAATACGATGATAATTGAAAGTGCCAACGCAAATTTGAATAACATTATTTAGGTTTATTACTAACTATTTAAGACTCTCTTTTTTTTTTTCTTCCTTTTCGACTGAATCGTAATGATGAACTGAAAAGATATTTAGGATTACGCCATTTATATACTTTGTTGATTGACAACAATGCTGGGCATTGGGAAATCATTCGTATTTAAGAGATGTCCATTTGTTCTTGCATACCGGAATTAATAAACCAATTGGATTAATTATAAAATTTACATTCTTTTCATCATCAATGATATTTTGCGTAATTAAAATTAATTAAAAAAAAAAATATAGACGAACAAGTAATACAAGTGAATAATGTATTAAACAGTTTTCCCTCTTGTTTACCCGTAATACATTTATTATAATTTTATAAAACCTTTTTACTTCCGTATATATCGAAAAATCAACAATGATGGAATCAAAACAATTTGATGGAATTTAAACAAATGTGAAATATTTCATTATACAATTCAAACTTCCTTCTCTTTGCTAACTTCCATAAACTTCCTGAATCCTTGAGATCTGCCAATTCTTGTTAAATAAATTTTTAAGAAATCTCATTTATAAATATGAAATAATGCGAAAACTGCAAGACCCTCCGTATGTTGAAATAATGAGAAAAGAAAAAAAAATACGATGTTTATGTTACTACATGACGTATATATATCAACGATACGACGGATATTACATTCGCATATTTGTAAGACATCGTGAATATTCGTAAAGAATCAAATTCTCACATAAGTTCTCGTTAAATCAACGAAGTAATTATTTTCGGGTATTTAAGATAAGAATCAGGATGAAGATGCTCCTAAGGAGCATTGTCTATCTGACAATTATATTAATCAATTTTTCGTCGGGAAATATTGAGAAACATTTGCTATCAAGATTATCATTCACTCTCAATGGACACAGCCTCGAGTGGCCTTGCCAGAGCACAAAGAACATCTACGAGACTAGTGGCCGTTACACAGCTAGAAATGTAATAGCAACAAGGATGCAAATTTACAAGGACGATGCGATTCTAGCTCTACCACGTTATAAACCTGGTGTACCATTTACTTTGGGTGTTGTATCATTAAGAAGTAATACTTGTAAACCAATGATTCTGCCGTTCCCTTGTTGGGCAATACAAGAAGAAGGTAATTGTGAAGCTCTACAAAGTGCCATTGATATTGTACTCGATATTCAAGATATTCTTTGGGTCCTTGATACTGGTATCGCTAACACAATGACTCAACCTGTTAGAAGATGTCCTGCTAAAGTTGTTGGAATTAATATTAAAACTGGCAAGGTATGCACTTGACAAATTTGCAAATTTCATTACATAGATTGAATATATAATATATGTATGTTACAGTTGAATTTTAAATTGTTACTAAACGACCAAAAATTTAATTATATAATTATTTTGTTTCTTTTTCTTTTTAGGTAGTTCAAATCATCGACTTAAGCCAGTTTTTACTACCATCATCCCATCTTCAATACATGCTAGTTGATTATGCAGAAGATGGCCAAGTTTACCTATATATATCTGATGCAACAAACAGAGCTATCATCATTTATAATGTCACAACAAATCATGGAAGTAGAGTAGTTTTACCAACTACTGTATCTGCTAATTTGGAAAAACCTGATGTATTGTATATGGTACTTGTCAGAAGATCTGATGGAACACCTGTCGTATACTTTACTTATTTAGGATCTAGCAGAATTTTCGGTATTAAAGCTGCTCATTTGAGAATTGGTGATTTAAATGGAGGAATTGAGGAAGTTGGTATAAAACATCAGAAAATTGTTTTACTTGGTACCGACAATGGTCCGGCCATATTCTTCCGGAACAAAGGTATAAATCAATAAGATTAATTAAATATTGTATATATATATATATATATATATATAAAAAATATTTTATTTATCATTTTTAGGTGAATCTGATATTTATATGTGGAATACGGAAACACCGTTCATACAAGAGAACTTCCTTTTAGTACAAAAAGAAGGTGATTGTCGATTATCAACACAAGTTGTACCTGGCTACAAAAGACTCATGTGGAATATTGAAAGTAACTTCCACGATTACATATCGAATACAGTTAGCTGTGCAGGTGCTACAGTCTCTATACATCCTCTAATGAACTCTTGCGAAGAATAAACACATGTGTTGATTGGACAATATAATGAACTGCAACAGAATATAAGATCGCCAATCAAATAGGTCGTAGTTACGGACATCGTTGGCTTTTATAAAAAAAAAAAAAAAAAAGCTGATTGTTAATTATTTAAAAAAACAAAATGATAATTTATGTACAAATAAAACTTATAAACTATAAATATTTGTCAGAATGTTTTGATTTTTATATTCTGAAAATATAACCTAATTTATGATTTAAACATATGCAATTATATTTTTAATTATATTTATTAATTTTATTATTTGTTTTTTCTTTTTAAATATATATATATATATATATATATTACATTTATTTAATATATGTTCTATTAGATTTTCCATAAGATTTCATATCGATCGATATCGTTCGATACTGATAAAAAGTCGATATATATATACGACGGTGTACGTACGTATGACTATATATATATATATAGTAGGTGTATATATCGACAAATAAACTAACTAATTAAAAATCATTTAGAATGCATTTATCTATTCATTATTAAAGAATGATCATTATCACAAAGTACAACGATAACGGTTTCAGCTGATAACTATAAACCAGAAGGAAAAGTGCAGTTGAAAGCATTCTAACCTCAAGTAAAGACATTACCACAATGGCCAAACTTCCAGAGCTTGATTATTTTCTAGAAAAAGAAGCTGCAGAGGCAGCTGTAAAAAGTTTTAAAATACATCTTCAAGGAACATTGAAGGAATATACGAAAATATGGGGTATGTACTTAAAAGTTGTAAACAAACTACAAGAGGTTAATTCTAAATCATCGCACAAAGAAAAAACTCGTGTGATTAATCAAGATGATAGAATTAATAGATCCTCAGATAGTTTAGATTTAGAAGAATTGAACACAACAAATTCAAACGATTTAATAGAAGTTAATCAAGAACAATGTACGTCAGATGTCATTTCTAATCATGAATCATTGACAAATTTAAATACAATTATTAATAGTCCTATTTTTTCAAGAAACGATTCAAATTCTAAAAGTAACAGTTTTAATAAGAGTGTTTCTTCGATAATTAGTAATAATGAAAGCACAAGTCCAATTAATAATTTAAGTATTGACAATGAACAAGAGATATCAAATGAAACAAGTTATTCATTTGCTAAAAGTCCTACAAGAAATGTATCATCAGTACTTTTATGTAGCACTCCGATTAGACATAAAAAGGTGACTATAAGGAAAAGGCAAAATGTTAACAAAAATGGACAATCTAAAACACCATTGAATAATTTAAGAAAAAGGGATAATTTATCCACTATAAGAAAAGAAAAAGCATTGAACAAAACACCTTTTAAACTTATTAGCAATGTGAACATTAATTCTCAAATAAATCGAAATAATAATTTAAACACACGTTATAACATTGAAGTAACACAAACGCCAAAAAGTAAAAAATTTAAGCAAACCAAATTAGCATTTCATAAGACAATGGATATGACGAACTTGGATAAAAGATCAAATAATAGTCCTGTATTAACAAAATCTAATAAATCTACAAATAATCATGAAAAAGTTTTAAGACAAAGTACATTGACTGATATGATAAGTTCAAAAAAGAAGGAAAATAATTTATCATTCAATAGTATTTACAATCAAAGAGAAAGATGCAATGACACAGTAGAAAGTACAAAGATTAAGAATGAAAAAGGTCAAGAACTGATAAATTCATTGGAAACAAATGACGACCCATTAAACATTAACGATAAATCTGATTCATCTTTTCTTCCAGAATATGAAAACAATATAAGTCTTGATGACAATTTTGATGCTAGTTTTAATTTTGATAAAAGGTCTTTGTCTTCGGAGATATTAACAAATAATGAACCTGAATCTACAAATCAATTTACCAAAAAGAGAAAAAGCCTGGGAACAAAGGAAAATATAAATTTCATTGATTTAGATGAATTAACAGAAGAAAGTCTTGAATCATCTGCAAGTGGAAGTTATAAAAAGTGCAAAGGGTACAAAGAAAAAGAAAGACATTACAACAGTAATAATCCAATTAAGAAAGAAGTTACATCGATGGATTTTTGTACTGTTATGTTGTCTGATAATTATTCGAGTACCTCTTAGTATTGCATATTATTTATATCTATATAATTATCAAAAATATTGTTACTTTTAACAACTTAAGACTTAAATACTTTAAGTACTTGTTCCTGTTCGATCACTGAAATTAAACAATTTACATGATTAATACTTGAATGATCGTTTTGGAACATAGTGTGTTGTTGACTTCTGATAAAGGTGACAGAGGTATGAAAAACTTAAACCTCATTAAACCTGTAAAAGGAAAATTGATAATAATAATGAACTCATAAATGATATGATAAACTTTTTATGTATATATTATTATAACATTAGATTGAAATATTTTAGATAAGACTTTGATTTTATATATACACTTTATAAGACTTTATATTTGTATACACATGAATGCAAAGTATTTATTTTTTCAAAAGAAAAATATAATAAAAAATAATAATGTTTTATGTAAATATTTATACGTTTATATAGCTAAGATTAAGCAAAAATGTTAAAAATAATCTACAAATTTGATTGAAATATAGTTTATGACAAAATTTTAAACTAAAAATTATCCATATCTTTTTTTCATTACATTTTAATTCCAATAATAATCTTTAAAATATTTGAACGTCTTTTGTTAATGTTGCCAATAATTTTGTCAAAAAGACAAAATTATACATTATTTCAATTTACTTTCAAAATATCAGAGAAATATTAATATACATGGTACATTGTGAAGTAGAACCTACTATTATCGACTGAGTTAAACTTGATTAATTATATTATTGATTGATAATAATACAGGAATTAAACCTACTAGTTCATGGTAGAACTAATTGTTACTGCTTGGAAAATACCTAACAAAATTTTAATTAACTATAACGAGTGATGATAAAAACAAAAATGTACTCTATTGGTACTCGATGGTAAAACAAGAATATGTTTTGTTATCAGTCAGTAAGAACAAAATCTACTATATTATTAAACTATTTCTAAGACTAATTTAATTATTATTATAAAGAAGAAGTTTTTATTTTGACATAGAATTTGACATAGGTTGTTTTAAAAAAAAATACTTGAGTTAAGCAATGGTGCTGAAAACAGAAAAAGTTAGAGAACCACTGCTTTAACCCAATTAACCTGATTGTGAGAGAGGTATCATATATAAACTTATTATTGATACGCTCATGGTAGAACATTGATATTCTGTTTTCCTTGTAGTTCATATTACATTCATATTTGTCGCTGTAGTCACACACGCTTCGAACAAAAATGGATGAATAGCCTTAAGGTGGTGTCTTCAAAACATGATTCGGATGTGAATATGAGTCTACGAGGATGAAATATTGTAATAAATGATGAATGTTCTTCTTTATCAACAGAATAATCTAAACGCTACTTTATAGTTTGAATTTTTACGATAGACGGCGTCGTCGTCGATAAAGTAATTATTATAAAGAGTCATGTCTATTTGAAGCAGTTGATTTAGTGTCGAGGGCGCTGTGAAATCGTGGAAGTTCGTGCGTTAAAAGGCAAATGGCCGGCGCAGCGTGTACGAGCGGGATACGTGTACGACGTCAAAGTACACATCGGGGTGCATAGTTCAATAATGTGTAACGAATAATGTTAAGTGTACGGGACGGTTAGTGATTACCGTATAAATAAACGTGATGCGAGGGGCCTTACGTTATAGGCCATGTAAGACCGGTCTGTTAGTAGGCCGGCGATGACCACTGAGAATCCCCCGAGCGCGGTGATGAAATCCGTGTCGGAGGGCGAGCTGGGCGTGGAAGAGGTTGTTAAATCATACGAGACCAAATCTCAAGAATCTAACTCGAGGCTGAAGCGAACCTTCACGCTTCCGAGGAATTTATTTCTTAGTGCCACAAGAATGTCGAAGCGTCGAACGAATAAAAGTCGTGATTCTAAAGACGTCAACGGCGCTGTCAGTGGAAAAGATAATTCTAAAAACAACGTGCAACAGCAACAACAGCAACAATATAATACGGTCGATAACAGCATGCAGCAGAACGTAGGAAGATTACATTGTGGAAATAACCAGCAGGCGGCATACCATCAAGAGAAATCTGCCAGCAAGAAAGTATTCGTAATGTCATCCTGGAGGAAGTTTATTAAGATTATGCAACACATGTCAAACGTAGGTACGCAAAACAAAAGCTCTCACAGGGATGAGCTTGGTTCTAGTGCAACTGATATTCGAGTGCCACCACCGAGACCAGCACACATTCCAGCTGACAGAGTACCCGGCGTTATAGGTCTGCGCAATCACGGTAACACGTGCTTCATGAACGCTGTACTCCAGTGTCTATCACACACGGATATAATAGCCGAATATTTTGTTCTTGACCAATACAAAGTTGATTTATCGCGACGTAACAAACTTAATTCGAAGAAGTACGGCACCAAGGGAGAAATTACCGAACAGTTAGCTTTACTTTTAAAAGCAATCTGGAGTTGCCAATATGACCCAGAAATGAGTACTGCTTTTAAGAGTGTTGTTGATAAATACGGTAGTCAGTATCGTGGTAATCTTCAACACGATGCCCAAGAATTCCTTCTCTGGCTACTTGATAAGGTTCATGAGGATCTCAATCAAGCTACCAAAAAGAAGTATAAGATCATAAAGGTAAGTGAAAAAGGATTATAATGATGAGCATGACGATGACAGTGACGATGACAGTGACGTTTGTACTTGTTTATCCCTTTCCCCTACTCTTTTCCCCTAGGCCTATTCCCCTTTCTCTATGCTTCTGTAAGTTCCGTTCATTCGATATCTAATACATGCCACGTTCTCGTTGTACCTCGTTCTATCAGTTGTACTTCGTTTTTATTTGTCTCTCTCTCTCTCTCTCTCTCTGTCCCCTTATGTGTTTACATGTACTTATTTATCTTATGAGATAAAGCTTTTCACTATCTATTTTTAAATTTTGTTATGGATGGATACGCACGTTTGTCTTGATCGTTCGATAGATAAATCTATTTCATTCTTCATCTCATTTTATTTCTATTTTGTTAAGCAACATTTTTATTCTTTTTGATATCGATCGATATATTTACATACTCTCGACGCACGATCGCTTTCACGTGAAATTTTCGCATGGCGCGATGCAACGCCATTGGTCCGTACGATGGTCGCGTGTCATTAAGACGCCACTGACGCGGGAGTTTCGCGCCAAATATTTATTTCCGAAACGATTTATACTATGTCACGTTCTTAAGATCTAATTACTATTAATATATATATATATAATATTAACAAGAGTATTCCTACATTACTGTCTTTACTGTCAATTTTAAATAATTAATATTTATTTATTGTGTGTAATGCAAATTTTCAAAATTCCTATACATACAAACCTATTTTGTGTTTATTAAATTTTTTAATTGATATTCATTTTATTTGCAAAGAAATATGTTATTAATGATTTTTAACAATGTTCAATTTTGGCGCCCTTTTTAAATTCAGATTTTGCCAAAATACCTTATGCCAAGTTCTAACAAATACATTTTACGAAATAGCTCATTTTTTTTGCAATAGTAAATAAAAGATAAAAATAAATAAAATAAATGTTAAATTACCAAAAAAATATAAATAAAAAAGTTCAATTAGTTAGTATTAATTAGTGGGATGAATGGGTAACCTGTTGGTTACCACGCGTTTTTTCAAATTGTATAATTAAATTCGACATAAACATTCATTTCCTTTTCCACATTATAATATATAATTATTAAATTATAATATTACGATATTTCTATTGGCAAAATACAAGATTGAAGAGATACGAAATTTGAACTCGTATTGAAATCATTCGTAATGGATTATTATCGATACGTATAATTATTTATTTATTTTCTAATATGTTTCATTGTCTCCTAATTTATGAATAATGCAATATTACGATGTTTCTATCGAATTTGAAAAAAAAAAAAAAAAGAACGAAGGTTTCATTTGCATTTAGGTTTTGGTGTCTCTAAGAGACACTGTATAATGAATAATAATACATTGAAAATGTGTTATCGAAAAAAAAAAATAGTTGCACGTAATCAAATGAAAGTACATATCGAAATTATATTAGGAAACAATTTATTTATTTATTTTTTTTTTTTTGTTGTTGCTTTCCTTTCGATTAGTTTGATTTTTCAAAAAAAAAATATGGCGAAGGTGGAACACGCGTTAGTAAGAATATTTTTCAGAGTTATTTATACAACATGGTTACTTAAATCGTCCATACTATATAACTTGGTGTAATGGTTGTAACCTTACGCATGATTTTATTTATTGCTTTGAGAAATGGGAGAAGCTGGTTGGTTAGGTGATCGTTCTCTTGTGGTATGTGTGTGTGTATGTGTGTGTTTCAGACTGTCGAGGCCTTAACCTAAATTTGTTTCACGTTCGAAAAGTATACGTGTTGGGATTTCTGAACGAAATCGAAGGAAATATACAAATGATTGACCGAGAAAAAAAATCAATTTGTTAAGACCTTTATCGATCCTTCGCACGTTTCTTTCGTATCCTTCAAAATGAATAAGAGAAATTTCATTATACTTATATATATAATATATATATGTCTAGAGTTCTAATTTTTACATATATAATAATATTAATAATAATAATAATAATCAATTTACATTTGATTGGCAAGTTATATCGTAACTAACCAAAATTTGTCACATAATTGAATTAACATTTGAATTAGTAATATTTTTGAATAATACGAATTAGTATACCCAATATAAATACTATCTTTTTTTGATAAAAAAGATGTCATACACACACACACATAAATATTCAAAATTTTCTGATTAATATTAATCATATACTTATGAATGATTGTTTACGTTATCGTTATCATTTAGTAAAACCTTTCGTATGAATAGGAATTAACGATCGTTACGAAATAATTAGAATGCAAATAGAAACTTCTTTTTATTCTTAACGCTTTTTAAAGTTGGTAATTATGGCAGCGATTAAAAGGAAAAATTTCACAAGAACAATAATATCATTTTGATTACAATAATTATTATTAATTTATTGATAAAAAGTTATGATAATTAAATGATCATTGATTGTCATAATTTACATATAATTTATAATTTGTAAAAATTATTAGTGTCAATTTGTAGATATCAAATTTTGTTTGATTTTAATGGCCGCACGTGTACGCAGTTAAACGTCGTCAGAAGTCTTGGTAATATTTTTCAAGAATTATTTGAAAAAAAAACTTTATAGTCATTCACAAAAAAAAAAAATTAACATAAAACAAAAAACAACAAATTTAATTTTATGTATAATTTTAAATATATATATATAAAGTTATAAATAAAATAACGGCCTATCTAACACACACACACACACACATGTTGTGTGTGCGGCCATTAAAGTCTTCAACTAAAATAAACGAAAAATATAAATTCATTCAGCCTAGACAAAATATATATTTCAGATTTGTCATTACAAAAAAAGTCAATCGTGATTATTTAATTATTTTCAATGTATCAAATGTCATACGATATTTTGTAAATATATTTAATGAGAATTGTTCATTATCGAAATATTTTATCGTAATAAATAAATAAATATCAAAGTTCAGGTCTATCGTACAGACAAATTTTAATGACGTCAATTACCAAAAAATAAAGGAAAGACAAACACACATTACATTTTCTTTATAATTATTCATCATGGATTTTCTTTTAATCGTATATTTCATTGATACAACTGAATTAATATGTATTTTCTTAATCAATTTCGATAAATTTATAAATGATGTCCAATACAAGCAGAGTTTTCTTCTTATTTTGATTAATATATTATCTCTCTCTTGAATTTTATTTTATTTTATTTTTTTTTTTTTATAAAAATACTACATAAATTAATTTACAATTAATATGTATATTTTTTAGTCATTTGTATATTTATTCTATTTTTTTTTCTTTTTTTTTTTTTCATGACAAAATGGCCATAGTTGTTAAATTTCAATCATCTTACATCGATGAGGTAAGAATTCGAGAGGAATGACTGCAAATAAGAAATGACTCATCCATTGTTCCCTTATCAAATTAAAACAATTATTTTTCAATGTAATTATAAACTGAAAGACCTAAAAAAAAAAAAAGACTTAATATTGGGTTGTAAGGAAAGTTCGTGCCGATTTTCGATAGATGGCATTGAAGTTCTTTTGCTAAAAAAAAAAAAAAACCTGAAAAATTCTGGAAAGACGAAATTTTCAAATTATTATATTTAATTATATTTATTATTATATTTTTGTAATTATATACATATTTATATAATTATTAATTTATATAATTACAGGTGCAATAACATTTGCAAATATGGGTATTGCTATGTTGGAACCAAGCTTACCTATTTGGATGA